CACACACACACACACACACACACACACACACACACACACACACACACACACACACAAAGAAAATCAAGTTTGTACTTGGATCCAGGACACTGAATTGACTTCCAGTCATTTCTGACCCTGACCCACCATATTAGGACCGGTCTTTGGTCCTGACAAGGTGTGTTTATCAGAAACAGTCCTAAAAAGGAAGCAGAGCCCTGGAACATAAACACATCTGTACATTTGTGTTGTATATGTTTCTACTCTGTTGCCAGCTGAACTTCTCGTCGGTCTCTCTGACCTTTAACATCCTGATCACTGCGACCTTTGGACCTAAATGTTCCAAACAGAATCAGAACCAGTTGGTAGTAAAACTGATTCTTTAGAACTCCTCTCGTTCTGGATCAGTTTGGGTAGGGACGTTGATAAATGCGCTGCCTGATCCCGGCAGTGCGTGGGTCATGTTTTTATGATTTTATTTCGCTCATTTTCATGCTTATCCTTAGCTTAGCATTTTGAAATCTATCTTAAGGTTTTATCTAGTTTGTTTTCTGCTTTGGTTTGAAATATCTCTGCCAAACTGTGACGCGCACTATGTCTACGGAGCTATGCACTTTTTGTGTTATAATGGAAGTCAATGGAGCACTTACTTCCCTATTCTCAGCTTTTAAAGATCTCTAAATCCTTAATGGGTGGTCCGATAAAAAAAATAGATAGTTTTGGAATCTACTGTATACACAGAGCCTTACGAGTACAAAAAGGGAAAACAGCTCTAAAATAAGTTTGAAAATTTTATCAAAGTTTGGGTGAGCGGCTGTGTCTTTGAGTGAAAACATTAAAGTTCTGATTCTGGATCAGGACATTTGCATGGCACCAGTCAGCAGAAATGAGCGGACTCACCATCAGACCCGGGTATCCAGGGAAACCAGGATCTCCCTGTGCAGAGACAAACATGGTGAATATAAACCAAGACATTCTGACTCGGTTCTGAAGAATGTCTGAGGGGACAGTACCTTTGCACCCCTGGGTCCAGCTGGTCCAAAACCGTCTCTGCCGTCCTGACCCTGAAACACAGCTCAGTCACTGACATGAACCCAGAACCAGAATCTGCTGACCCACCAAAACCCAACAGTTTCGTACAGGTGTTCCTCTGGCCCCCGGTGGTCCTGAAGTACCCAGGTCACCCGGATCTCCAGGTTGGCCCTGAAACAAGAACCACAATTTAGTTCTGAAGTAATCAAACAATCCAACCAACCAACCAACCTACAATAACTAACAATCCAACAACCAACCAACCAATCAATTAACAAACCAATCCAACAACCATCAAGTTCAAAAATCTTGTTTTAATATTAATAATAAAACATTATTTTTGTTTAGACACTTCCTGTTTATAAACCCAATGTTTTCTGACTTCCTGTTTATAAACACATTGTCTTCTGTTTCAACATGATGTCACACCTTCTGTCCAGTTGCTCCACGGCGTCCATCTTGTCCCCGTTCTCCGAATGGTCCTGGTGCTCCCTGCAGAAAACCACAGAGAACAAAGTCAGAGGAGCTCTCAGATTTCTGACGTCCCTAAATGCAACAGTAACTAAAAGCACTCAGAGAATGCAGACCTCTGTTGGGACCCTGGTAGGGTTTATTCAGGTCAGGTTAGGATGCTGATTGGCTTTCACAGTATGACATCATCACAAAAAGACACTCTTCTCTGCTTATTCCAGATCACAACAAGCTGCAGCCTTAAGACATGTTGTCTTTGTGACAAACATTAACCCTTTACCCAACATTACCCTTTACCCAACATTACTCTTTACCCAATTTTGATTTTTACTCACCATTCCTCTTTATTCAACATTAACTCTTTACCCGACATTTACCCAACATTACCCTTTACCCAGCAGTACCCTTTACTCAACATTACTTACTACTAAACATTACCACTTACTCAAAATTAACTCTTTACCCAACATTACCCCTTTACCTATCATTACCTTTTACCCAGCAATACCCCTTTGTCCAGTATTACCCCTTTGTCCAGCAGTACCTTTTACCCAACATTACCCCTTTACCCCACGTTAACCATTTAACCAGCATTACCCTTTACCCAGCACCAACCCTTTACCCAACATTACCCTTTACTCAACATCAACCCTTTACCCAACATTAACCCTGTACCCAACATTAACCCTTTACCTAACGTTACCCTTTACGCAGCATTAGCCCTTTACCCAACATTACCCTTTACCCAACATTAACCCTTTACCCAACATTAACCCTTTACCCTATTTTACCCTTTACCCAACATTAGCCTTTTACCTAACATTAACCCTTTACCCTAATTTACCCTTTACCCAACATTACTCTTTACCCAACATTAACCCTTTACCCAACATTAACCCTTTACCCTATTTTACCCTTTACCCAACATTAGCCTTTTACCTAACATTACCCTTTACCTAACATTACTCTTTCCCCAAAAATACCCTTTACCCAACATCAACCCTTTACCTAACATTACCCTTTACCCAACATTACCCTTTACCTAACATTGCTCTTTACCCAACTTTACCCTTTACCCAACATTAACCCTTTACCTAACATAACACTTTACCCAACATAACCCTTTATGCAGTATTAACCCTTTACCCAACATTACCCTTTACCCAACATTACCCTTTACCCAACATTACCCTTTACCCAACATTACCCTTTACCCAACATTACCCTTTACCCAACATTAATCCTTTACCTAACATAACCCTTTACCTAACATAACCCTTTACCCAACATTAATCCTTTACCTAACAGTAATCCTTTACCTAACATTACACTTTACCCAACATTACCCTTTATGCAGCATTAACCCTTTACCTAACATTACCCAACATTAACCCTTTACCCAGCATTAACCCTTTACCCAACATTAGCCCTTTACCCAGCATTAACCCTTTACCCAACATTAGCCCTTTACCCAGCATTAACCCTTTACCCAACATTAGCCCTTTACCCAGAATTAACCCTTTACCCCGTTTGTTTGAACCCTCCAGATGTGAGTCCAGTTGTTGATCCTGAAGCTGCAGTGGTTCTGATGTAAAACCTCTGTCAGTCGATGAACTGGACTTTACCTGGACCCTTCACCTCCTCAGAGGCCCCAGACAGAACCAAGTTTTAGATTAAACATGAGATTGATTGAAAACTTATCTTTTCCCTTATTTTATATTTATTCAAGTTGGTTCTGAAACTAGAAAAGCTGGATCAGAAGCAGGTCCAGGTCATATGGCCTGTGTTTGATCCAACTGATGGACCAGAACAGACTGATGTGATCCTCCCATACAGGAACCAAAGAATCTGGGTCAGGTTCAGACCAGCTGGTTCTGATTCATGTCAGCAGCAGATATGTGATGGTGAGGACTAGTTCCTGAAAAATATTTGGTTTCTCCAAAACTCAAAGTCCAACTGAGCTTCTGATGTTCACATCTGCATGAATCAGAACCCACTGATGAGTCTGGAACATCCTTGGTAACACCTTGGAAACAAACTGTGTGAAAATAATAAAAAATAAATTTTTACTGCTTTTCCCCAAACATCACTCAGGATCTTAGTTCTGGTCCTGATGAAGGACTTTGAGGACTAGACTTTTGGTATTTCATAAAGAATGATGAAGCCTCCCAAAGCACCAAGGAGTGGCTCAAACCCAGAACAAGAACCAGAATCAGAACCAGAACCACTGCATAGTTTCAGATGACGCCTCATTCATTACAAACTGTTTGTGAATCAAATCTGAGCAGAAACCAGATGTTTGTCAGAGTCTGTGAGATCTGTGACACCATTTAGTAAACATGAAACCACAGAATCCTCATCCTGCAATCATTAAAGCTCCTCAACACGGCGACACAGAGACCACTGACAGTCTGCTGCAGAGCAGAACTGAAAACTGACACAGGATCAGGTCTGGGTTTAAAACACAGATCTGTAAAGGTAGAGTTAGAAATTTAAAAAATGTTTCAGCTCGTAAAAAAAGAGCAGAGCTCTCAGGTCTCAGTGCTGAGGCCGGGGGTGTTAAGGTCTGCTGGGGGTGAGGACAGTTAGGGGGACAGAGACAGGTTGATGTGTCAGCACAGGTCTTCTAAAGACCCTAAAAGACCCACACATGTGTCCACATGTGTCCACATGTCCCCCACGTCTCCACATGTCCCCCACACCTCCACATGTCCCCACGTCCCCACATGTTCCCACACTGCCCCCAGTGGTCAGCTGTAGATTACAGTAGCATCTGAATCCTCATTTCTTTACAAAATAAAACTTCTACATAAAGAATTTTATGGCAACAAGATGAAAAAAGATCAAAGAACTGAAAACAACAAGAATAAAATGATAAAAATAAAGTTTAGATTATTTATAATGAAAACGAGGATTAAAACCTTTCTGTATAAAAACAAAGGAACTGACCTGACGACCAGGAAGACCCCGCATCCCTGGTGGTCCTGGTGGACCTGGAACCCCTCTGGGACCCTGCAGGGACACATGGGCAGCTTTAAAGTACGAGTCGATAACACCTGAGCCTCAAACATAAACTTTATTTAAACTAAAATAAACCTGAGCGTTTATACACACTGGTTCTGACAACAGAACCGGGTCTGCTCCAGAACCATTCAAAACAATATACACATACTGTATATACATATACATATACTGTACACACACACACACACACACACACACACACC